ACCTAATGTAGCTGACATAGCCATCTGTCTGGAATTAGCTGCTGGGAACGTGCACAAGCCATGATGTGTCAGGTCATTGAATCCATGCTGCCCCTTGTGGGACGATGCCAGCTTGTGTGCTGTGGCCTAGGTTGTAGTCAAATAAGAATTGTTGCTTAGCAGACTTTGTAATATTAGCCAAAATGGTATCATTGTTTAAAGAATACATATCATATTTTATTGTGTTGAAACTTGTGATTTACACCACAATTAATCCCATTGTAACTCCTTGAGGAATTCAATCAACACACAGCAGCTTTAGTAAAGGTGCCAATAACCTGTAAAACATAAAATCCCCAGCTGCAGTCGTTAATAGAGGAAACTAGAGTCCTGCCGCAAAGCACCGTGGGTCAAATGTCTGGGATTGTATGAATGTGAAGCAGGGGGGTAGTAAAATGAGGATTTCTCAGCTAAATCCTATTAAGTATAATAACATGATTTTTGAGAAATTGAACTTGTGAATGCTGTAACCATTTGTTGGAAAACACGGTGCAGCTGCACAGTGTGACATACCATAGCAAGCAAATAGTATACAGCTTCTGAATCGAGCTAAACCGAGAGCTGGAATGAAATAGTCTCAAAAGGAAGATTTGATATGATATACTGTATATTAAGGCTGCACGATATTGGAAAAAACTGATGTTGCGATATTTTTTTCCCCCTGCGATATATATTGCGATATGAGAAAATACAGGAATTGAAGAAAAGACCGTTATTTTTGTCCGCAAACCATCCTTTCTTGAACTTTAATGCTATACAATTGGTATTTTTCTAACTATATTTAACCGGATGAAGGATTTTAGTCACGGACGTCTGGATCTTAAGTTATCAGAGCAACAAGCTGAGCTAGCTCGGTTAGCAGCGCCGAACTGCCTTGGAGAAACACATTTTTTTTCCCTCCGTCCTGCGATGTGACATGCGCATAACGCGATTATCGTCACGACACGATATATCGTGCAGCCCTACTGTATATTATGAATTCTAATGTTGTAAGGTAGACTCACTATAACCTATGAAATTGTGAAACTATAATGACGCTTTTGTAGAAGCCACAAGTCAACTTTTTAAAAGAAAACATTTATCATTTGTGATGGATTTAGATCCACACCAATCAGTTGAAAGGTTTTTTCACCCTCCCAATCAAACATTTTATTGTCAAGATTCATCTTAGAGTTGGTTGGCTTAATTCAATAATTGGAAGGGATATTCACTGTTGAGCTCTATGATCTAACTTATATATCTCAACTCGATGTGTTCCAGCAGCTCACTCATGCTGTTTGCAGGGAAATGACTCTCTCCAATCTAATTAGGTTTAATGAAAACCTATAATAGCTTTAACGGGTTAGATGTTTCAGTAGGGAGTGCCACGGTAATTAGGGATGCAATTCAAGATCATATAAAGCTGTTGAGGAAACAATTATACGATACTCAAATACTCCCAGATGGAACAATACACATTGTAGCTTAGACATTTTTAATATATCATTATGGTGGTCACAATTATTGAAGCACAAATGTGAAATGAAAAGGAATTTGGGAAGAAGATGCCATGGGATGTGTACCAGGATGGGAATCATTTTTGGCAGCAAACAAACTTTGCATTCTTAGTGTTCTTTTCTGACCATTTGCCTGCAAAAACAGGGTCTTCAATCCCCACCTACCTGCACTTCATATGAAGAGTAGATCAAATGTGTTCCTTAGCATGCTCCTGCCCTGGTTGCTAGCCTGTTTATACTAACCGCTGACTGATGGCCCTAATGATGTAATGCCGGGTGAGTGAGCAATAGAGCCAGAAAGAGAAGTTCAATATCACAGCTGTCTGGAGAGTCGCAGGAGGAAGAGAAATGTTCCTCTGGCTGAGGCCGTGCAATCAGGATTTATCACACTCTCACTCTCACACACTTTCACTCTCACACACACACAACACAGGAGCAGTGACATGACAGGCCAGGCCAGATGCTTTGCTGTGGGAAGAGTCTGGAATAGAGAGGAGGGAACGGTGATTGGACGGTCTCATTTCCTGGTTCACTGCTTGGTCGAATTATGTCACAGTGTTATGATTGGATTGAAGACTGTGGATCGGTTGGAGTTTGATGTGTTAACATTAGGGATGTAACGATACCAAAAACTCACGGTATGATAATATCGCGATATCAAGTCCACGGTACGATATTTATCGCGATATTGAAAAATAAAGAAAAGAAAAAAAAGTTGATTTTTTCTTTTCTTTTTACATTTTATCTTGCAATTTATTTATTATTTACTTGAAAAAATAAATCTAATTTGTACAGCATTTTAGTAGGATAGTAGTATTTTAAAGTGTCAAAAATATAATAATCAGACCCTGCAATAAAATAAATCTGTGCATTGTCTCTCCACCCCTTCAAAAACAATACAGTTTTTGCCAAGAAGGTGAGGCTTATTGACAGGGCGAGATATATATATACTGTTGGTACTTGTCAATGTCTCTAGGTATGTAAATGTAGCCCTGTAAATATGATGTCCTTTTGTGTTATCTGTTGTTTTATGTTCATGTTGTAACCTACTTGCTGCCATGTTGGACAGGTCTCCCTTGAAAAAGAGATCAATGATCTCAATGGGACCACCTGGTTAAATAAAGGTTTTAATTAAAATAATCGCGGTAGATTTTGTCAGTCTCACGACGATATTGAGACATTTATTTATCGCGATATTCGATATATCGTTACATCCCTAGTTAACATTCGTAAGATCTATATACATTTGTCACTTCTTAGACAATATATTTATTGCTATGTTGTTACTCAAGTGATGACATACCCTTCCCTGAAAAGCACCTAATTGTTCCAAGGTTCTCTACTTGCATTTTAAAGAGGCCCAATTATGCTTTTTGTACAGGTTTCTGTGCATGTTAATGGTCTGCAAAGGCTGAATCCCTGCATTCCCTCCAGAGGGAGTTTCTCTCCCACACACTCATAATCTCCATCTTACTTTCTCTTGTCCACTCTCTCCTCTAAAAGTGACTGGTTGTGGTTGGTAACATAATTAAGCTAATTGTCCACAATTTATAGCCTCACTGCCTATAAAACCCCCTGTGACCGCTCCTCGCTGCTACCCGTCGTCTCCCTCTCCGGTCGTTTTGGGTGGCGGCCTGTTGCACTAGCCGTGTGTGTGTCTATCTGCTCTTATGTGTTATTCGGGGATACACCACAGATATTTGTTCCTCTGTTTCTCCCCCTCCGGCTCTGCTCAGCTGCTCCGGCCATCTGTGCAAAGGCAAACAGAGAACAGAGGGATGAAGGAGCGGTGGTGGGGGAGGAAAGATATGGAGGAGGGGAAAATGTTTTGGAGAAAGAGAATGAAAGAAGGCTTTTTTGATTTAGTAAGGAGGATGAGTAGAAGATGACGGAAGAGGGGAAAGAAAGATGAGGAAGAGTGTGTTCGGGAATTGTTTCCAGGAGGCCGGCCGCATAAAGATGATGTCTGTCTTCTAGAAATAGGGCAGCGAGTGTGTTTATGTCAGTGGAAAGTAAGATGACTAGTGTTGTCTGGGTTTAAAGCAAAGATCAGCCAATAATGAGCTCATCTGACATCTTGTTTTCCCCTTCTGCCCCACCTTCTCTGTCGGTCTGTTCCCATGCTTCCTCTGGGCTGGCCTCTGAGTTTATCCCAGCACTTAGCCTCCCCCCTGCCCTTGTTTTGTAAACTTGGACAAGCCTGTTTCCTGCTACCCCCCCCCCCTTACTCCCCCCTCTGCTTCTCTTAAACTACCAAATCTGTTTCCTCTCATCCTTACCTCAACTAGCCGAGGAAATAAAATAAGACACATTTGTCTCATTGACGCAGACTATGCATGACAGCTCGTGTTACAGATGGTTGCCCTTTTATCAGGCCTCATATGCTTCACGTTCTCCTCTCCCTCATGTCTGTGACTGCTCCGTTTGTGGCCCATAAGTCAAACTGTCCTCCTATATTTGGGTTTATTGTACGCTCCTTGACCCACTTAGTGGATAGACATACAAGTCTTTTTTATCCCACCTCACCATACTGTTCTTGTTGGCCTAATAGTAAGAAGCAGGCTAGCTTTTATCATGCATGTGCACATTCAAAAGTTGCATGACTCGACATTATTACTGTGTGTTTTCACAGTTTGCGTGCTCAAGCTTTTTGCTCTCCCTAAAGTGTACGAGCCCAGATGAAAGCTAGTCTTCCACACTAGTGAGTCCAATACCATTTTGCACAGAGGAATCTAACCCGTGGCAGCCAAGTGTGTCACTGAGCTTTCTACCATCACAGAGGGGACGCTGGCCGCTGCACAGCAGTTGGCGTTGAAATGAATGAACGGCTATTTGTAGAATGTGTTGTTTGTGCTGTCCCTCCTCCTGTGGTCCCTCAGACAGAAAACATAACATAATATCCTGCTCAGGCTTCAGGCCTCTGCTGGGTCTCTGCAGCAGTTTCATCGGCAGTATTCTGGCGCATTCTGTTCCAATTCTGTCCTACAATCCATTTGCCTGCTAATATTTGGACGCTTGCATAACAATGTCTCTGTGTGGCAGGGATCCCAAAAGGCATTGAATTCATACATTTAAAACTAAGTCTCAAAGGGGGCATATTGTGGTTTTTGGGGTTTTCTCTTTCCTGTAGTGTGTTATATAGATTTGTGTGCATGTAAATGGTCTGCAAAGGCTAAAATCCCAAAGTTCCCTCCCTTGTGCAGAAACGTTGCACTACTGGAAACAAAGCACTGCCAGTATTCTTTCCGCAACTTTGGTTACGGTCAAATTGGTCTTGAAATGATTCCATTAAAAATTCCAAACTTGCCTAAAGCAAATAAACCCTGTGTGAGTGATGCTGAAGCTCTAAGCAGATCCCAGCCATCCCGTTATCTGATTCCCAGCGTTATCAACATTCCTGCCGCTCTGCTCGTCATGTCTGGTCTCGCTGCTGACTCACTTTGTTTCATTATCTTCTCTCTGCAGACCAGACCTCGCTGTCTCCAGAAATCCTGCAGACCCGTGGCCATCCTGCGAGATTTACGTCAGCCCTGCCTTGCAGAGACGGACCACCAACACCAGAGGGGAGATGAAGCCGGATGGGGTTGCCACGGCAGTGCATGAGCCAATGGAAACACTGGAATCCAACCCGGTGAATGAGGCAGCAGGACTGGAGGGCAACCAGGCCGCCAGCCCGGGGACGGAGGAGGTGTCACAGCCCACCACAGAAGAGACGGGGGACGCAAAGCCAAACCAGGCTAAGGAGACCCCCGCTAAGACTGGCAACAAGACTACAGGAGACCCCAAAGCCAAGACTACCAACAAGGCCCCGTCCAACAAGACAAAACCCGGCACCACGGCCCCAAGTAAGACCTCAACCGGGTCCAAGACCAACACAACCCAGAGCCGCCTCTCAAACGGCACGACTAAGCCCCAGACTAACGGCGTGGCGAAGAAACCCGCCCCTGCCGCAGTTAAAAAGACCACCCCCACCACAGCGCCTGTCAAAAAACCAACAGGCACGACCCCGTCCCCGGCCCTGAAGAGCAAAGTGGGTGAGAAGAAACCCACAGGGGCGTCTCCCGCCACCGAAGGAGTGAAGTCGATGACCGGAACAACCGCGGCCAAGAGGCCAGCGCCCGCTCCTGCTAACGGTGTCAAAACCAGCAGCACCACCGCGACCCCCGCTAAGAAGCCCCTAGGTTGGTTGGAAATGTCACCATAAAACAAAAAGTTGTGGGGGGGAAATACACATCCAGAGTTAGCGTAGTAGCATGACGTGTTTTCACAGCTCTAATGAGATGGATCAGCACAGATTACACATGCCCCAGTGGCTGCTGGGTATCTACAGAGGCGTTTGCCCTACATCCCTCTGGCACGACCTATATCTGTGATATACTGTATGTTACTGTATATGTTACTATACTGTAGTGTAACGCTGTTCTCCTCTGTCTCCTCCTTTCCTCACTTGTCTCCTTTCCTTTAAACCTTTCTGTTTCTCTTCTCTCTTGTTCTCATGTCTCCTCCTTTCTGATCTAACTTCTCCTCCTCTTGTCATGTCTCCTCTTGTCTCCTCTCCATTTTTTTTCTACATGTCATCTACTCGTATCCTTTTTTCTCGCCTGCTTTTAACCCTTTTTCTGCTCCTCTCATCTCGTGTCCTCTCATCTCGTGTCCTCTCGTCTCACCTAACCTCTTCGCGTCTCCTCTCATCTCCTCTTCTCTAACTTCTCCTACTTTCTTCTCGTGTCCTCTCATCTCACCTTCACTCGTCTTCTCTGGCATCCTCTTACCTCTACTCCTTATTTCATCTCCTTCAACCTCTCCTTGTCTCATCTCCTCTCCTCTTGACTTCTCTCCTCTCCACTTCTCGTCTGTCCTCTTTTCTCGTCTACTTTTAACCCTTTATTTTCCTCCTCTTCTCTCGTCTCCTCTAACCTTTCCCTTCTCTTATCTCCTCTCCTTTAATCTCTCCTCTTGTTTTTTCTCGTATCCTCTCATCTCGACTCCACTCATCTGCTTTAACGTATCCTCGTCTATTCTTCTCTTGTCTCCTCTCCCCTTCTCTTCTGTCATCTTCTCATGTCCTTTTTTCTCGTTTGCTTTTAACCTTCTCCTCCTCTTCTCTCACGTCCTCTCATCTTGCCTCCACTCGTCTCCTCTAACCTCTCCTCCTCCTCTTCTCTCTTCTCCTTTAACTTCTCCTCTTTTCTCCTCTCCTCCAGCTCCTAAGACTGCCTCTGCAACTCCCACCAAGCCCCCTGTTTCCAAGACAACAAGGTAGGTGTGACACGTAGACATGAGTGTGTGTCTGCGCATATGAACAGTCACACACACCCATGAAAGAGACTGTCTGTGTGTGTGTAGATAACACAGGCAGCTGCAAACCCGTTATAAGTCACCTCCTTTCCAATTTACTCGCACATTTCCTTCAAAACAGCATCATAACTGAATAAACTGCCCATTTTGAAGTTGAGCATTACAAAGCTCCTCGGTGTGAAGCGAGAAGCAGCCGGTTCAAAAGGCTTCGCTTGGCTCCAGGTTCAAAGAACACCCCGGAGGAGCGAGGGACAATGATCCCCCACATACAGGCTCAGAGGGCCGGGTGTAAAGTAGGCCAGCGAGGAGCTAATGTCAGAACAAGCCTGAGAAGAACGCCTCGCAGGGTTTCACCAGAGCAGCCATTAAACAGCAGCATTATTAATTAAACTAGTTTTGGGAAAGAGAGGGGGGAGGGGGACGTTGGAGGATTACACTGAGAGCTAATGTTTTACTTTCTTTAAAGTGCAATGGGGTCAGCATGTATTCCTCACCTGAGTCACACTGTGTGCATGGTGTCGGGTCCGGAGGTGGCTCGACACTGAAGGAGCCTTTGTGTGAGACTGATGATCCGATACAGCCTCCTCTCAGATCATCCTTCTCCTCAGCCTTGTTTGTTTATTCATTACCTCCTTGCTGTAGGTTGTGATGTGTTATGTCACCGTGTTGGTATGTTTCTGTGTAGAAACATTGTTTAGTCAGGAACTCTTGCGTCAAACCAACTCTGTTGCAAACTTGTTATAACACATAGAAACAGGAAGTACAACCGCACGCACTGCAGGCAACCCGAGGAAGGCCTAAAGCAGGGGTACTCAAATACAAATCTTAAAGGTCCAAAGAAAATGTTCAATAAGACAAAGGTCCGTTTATTACGGTCATTCAAACGTTTTAAATAATTGCAACAAGATTCTTAACACGAGGTTGCAAAAACAAAAAGTATCTGTATGCAGCAGTTTTCATTGTTATTGTGTCTGTGCTTGATCCCTCAGAGTCGCAGCTGCACCCTCTTTCCTTCAGCATTCCCATTATTGCTTTATAAATGTCTTGCCCCCTTGTGTGTCCACTGAGGTTCGTCAGGCCCAACACATCTTCAACAAACTCCCCCTTTGCCTCATCATAAAAACTCACAAACACCAGCAACTGAGCATTGTCAGTGGTGTCAGTGGACTCATCCACAGCTAAGGAAATGCACTGTGCATTTTTTATTCCATCACAAAGCTGATTAATCAAATCACCAGCCAGTATTTATGTTCTTCTGGTTGCTGTGGAATCTGAGAGGGGGATTTGCTTGATTTGACCTGTTATTTCCTCTTTTTGTTGGCCTTCAAACATGGTCTCCATCACTTCAGTCATGCATTCTTTTATTATTTCTGCATCAGAGAATGGCTTCAACACCCATGCCACTCTGAGTGAGGACTCAGTTGCCTTTTCTCGTTGTGACATAGATGTAACAAGGTTCCTGCTTGCAGCTTGATATGATGATTTCATCCCATTTATTTTTTTGGTTCTTACCGCTGAATTTTGAGGAAAGGTCGCTTCAAAAATAATTGTGTTTTGTTTCATAATTCCGTTTCAAATTGCCACTCTTCACAAGAGCTACCGTTTCTTGGCATATTAGGCCCATTGGTTTGGTGCTCGCTGGAGGGAGGATGAACGCATATTTTTCAGTCCATTCATCTTTGAATTGCCGATTTTCACTGTCGACTTTTCTTTTACTGGTCATCTTTGAACATGCTTCTACTAGCTGCCCGCTGGGGAAACTAGGCTACTAGCTACAGTACAGGTGAAACTAGGCTACTAGCTACAGTACAGGTGAAACTAGGCTACTAGCTACAGGGAACTAGCTACAGTACAGGTGAAACTAGGCTACTAGCTACAGTTAACAGCTGAAACTAGGCTACTAGCTACAGTACAGGCTGAAACTAGGCTACTAGCTACAGTACAGTGAACTAGGCTACTAGCTACAGTACAGGCTGAAACTAGGCTACTAGCTACAGTACAGCTGAAACTAGGCTACTAGCTACAGTACAGCTGAAACTAGGCTACTAGCTACAGTACAGCTGAAACTAGGCTACTAGCTACAGTACAGCTGAAACTAGGCTACTAGCTACAGTACAGGCTGAAACTAGGCTACTAGCTACAGTACAGGTGAAACTAGGCTACTAGCTACAGTACAGGTGAAACTAGGCTACTAGCTACAGTACAGGTGAAACTAGGCTACTAGCTACAGTACAGGTGAAACTAGGCTACTAGCTACAGTACAGGTGAAACTAGGCTACTAGCTACAGTACAGGTGAAACTAGGCTACTAGCTACAGTACAGGTGAAACTAGGCTACTAGCTACAGTACAGGTGAAACTAGGCTACTAGCTACAGTACAGGTGAAACTAGGCTAGCTACTAGTACAGACGTGAAACTAGGCTACTAGCTACAGTACAGCTGAAACTAGGCTACTAGCTACAGTACAGGTGAAACTAGGCTACTAGCTACAGTACAGCTGAAACTAGGCTACTAGCTACAGTACAGGTGAAACTAGGCTACTAGCTACAGTACAGCTGAAACTAGGCTACTAGCTACAGTACAGCTGAAACTAGGCTACTAGCTACAGTACAGCTGAAACTAGGCTACTAGCTACAGTACAGCTGAAACTAGGCTACTAGCTACAGTACAGGTGAAACTAGGCTACTAGCTACAGTACAGGTGAAACTAGGCTACTAGCTACAGTACAGGTGAAACTAGGCTACTAGCTACAGTACAGGTGAAACTAGGCTACTAGCTACAGTACAGGTGAAACTAGGCTACTAGCTACAGTACAGGTGAAACTAGGCTACTAGCTACAGTACAGGTGAAACTAGGCTACTAGCTACAGTACAGGTGAAACTAGGCTACTAGCTACAGTACAGGTGAAACTAGATGAGCTTTTTTTTTTTTTTAAACTCTCGCTCTGACTCAGACAGGTTGAAAGAGACGACACACACATTTTTCCCACCCGCATTCCGGGAAGACCCGCCCTACTGTGCCTCTGATTCGCAGACTGTTGGTGGGGGAAAAAAACGCTGACGGGATGCTGAATGTGATTGGACCAAAGCGTTGAAAGACACACACAGACAGTGGAACAGTCAGACATGCAGAGCGCTGTATGCAGTGGACATAGCGGAGGATTTTGACTTGTTGCGTTGTGGACGATGTCTCGCAGATAATACAGATAATACAGATAATACATATGAAAAGTATAATTTGCTCAGAGTCCAGAGACAGTTGTGGTTCGGTCCGGACTTTGAGGATGCCTGGCCTTAAGGGATAGTTTGACATTTTGGGGATGATTGTATTTTTAAATAGTAAGTCCACCTCATATTTCTAAAAAGCAATATACCATATTTTAGGGATCCTTATCAGAAATCTATATATTTATATAATTTTAATAACAAGAGTTTTTTACTGTGGCCGACAGTTGCTAACTTCTAAAACTGCCTAAAACATATCCATTAGGAGAGACGCGCTGCAGTTTCAAAACGATGCAAGTACAGAAACACAAATGTGCCAAAACACATACAAATGAAGAAACATCTTCACCACCTTGGCAGCACATGCACACTGTTGACTCAAAGCGCAGTATAAACGAAACACTGCAAACACAAAACGCTGTTATTACAAAAGCACTGCAAGGAGCTCAAAACACAACGGAAACCAGGGGACACTAAAAAGTGACGCACACAGCTGGGACCGGAGCGCTTGGTGACGTTAAGGATTATAAAGTTGGCCAACTCTGTTAGTCTGTTTTGTAGTTTTAGGTGTTTTGGCTGTATATTTGAAATGACTCTCGTTAGCTACGTTGGCTAGCTAACTTACAGCAGATCTGCATTAATATCGGAAGGAATCATGCAATCACATAAGCGCTGTTTCTTCAAGTTGATGAATATTTGATGTGCTGTCAGCTTTGCATCGTTTTTAGAACTGCAGCGCGTTTCTCCTAATGGAAGTGTTTGGGGCTGTTGGAGCTCGTTTGCACCTGCCAGCCACCGTAGGTTTGCCTTGATTAAAAGACGCCATCACAAACCCACCTTTTTTTTCTTCTTCTCTACTTGTTATTGCCAATAGACAAACAAGACGTTCACACTACGTTTTCAGCCCTGAAATCCCTTAGGTGACCCCACACACACTCTGCATGTGCCACGGCTGGCAGTTGGATCGTTGAGATTATGCTCAGATTAAAGCTGTGTACAAATGGTTGTTGTGCAAACATCTAATTAGGACGTATTACACAGGGGCACGTTGGTAGTGGCCACTGTGGTACAGAGCGCTCAACGCCACGTGGTAACACACACAAATGAACCCTGTTAGATCAACTTTAATACCACACTCTAAATGTGAATGTTGGTAATTTAATTATCAAGCATTACAACCATCACACCCGTCCTCTACCGCTGGATATATTTCAGACAGCGGGGCTTTAGAGAAGAAAATCTTGTGGTAGAACTTTGGAATATGAGTGCAAGGCAGGCAGTATAAGAGCTTTAATGGGTCGTATCATTAGCCCTCTTTTATCCTTGATCAGTAAAGTATTAACCACTCATTAAATGAGTATTGCTCTTTTTCCACTAAGATAGTTCAATTGCAAAACAGTTTACCAATGCAGCTCTCAACCCCGACATTTTTTCAACTGGGGCACCAACTGTTTCCTCAGCTGGCAACAAGAACAGTGAGCTGAGTCGGTGGAGGCAGGGTGTAATTAACCTGAGCAACAAGGGTTAAGATTAAGACTCACTTTGTGAATCCCTGAGGCGATATTCCGTTTTTATTCTCTATATTCTTACAGTTCTGCTCCAATCTGGACCAGAACTTGAAATAGAAAAATGGCTAATATATGACGACACACATTATATAAAATCGACCCCAATTTATTTTTCACCATACTTTTAATGACAACCCGTTTGCTATCATTATCATTTTTTAACAGTGAAT